TGTCCTTACTCTCGATCCCTCCTACCCTATCTTCCTTCTCACCCCTCCCTCACCTCCAGTCCACCCCTCTCATCACTTCCCTCCCGCCCCCTCCTTCTATCCCACCATCCACTCATCTCATCCTTCCTTCCCCTCCCCCCCACAATCTCATCCTTGCCCATCCCTCTCCCACCCTCGAATTCCATCCCCCTTCTCTCTCCACCCCCCTCTTTTCTGCAACCCCACCCTCCAACCTCCCACCTGCGTCCTTCGTTCGCCCATTCCTCCCCCCAATCCTCATCCGTCCCACCCCTCTGCCCATCCTCCATATCCATCCCCTCTCTCTCCCGCCCCCTCTTTCTCACCCCACCCTCCACCTCCCACCTCATCTTCCCCCCTTCAAACACCCCCACCTCCACCCATCCTCTTCCCCCAATCTCATCCTTCCCACCCCTCTCCCACCCTCCATCACCTTCCCCTTTCTTCCCGACCCCCTCCTACTCACCCCTCCCTTCCTCCCTCCCACCTAGGTCCGGTGGCGCCACGTGGGCTGGGGAATGGGGCTCCAGTTCCTGCTGGGGCTGGTGATCCTGCGCTGGCCACTGGGTCAGGCGGTGTTCCAGTGCGCCGCGGATAAGGTCACCCTGTTCCTGGGGTTCACGGACGTCGGCTCCGAGTTCGTCTTCGGGCCCTCGTGTCGGAGATGGAGATCTTCGCTTTTAAGGTCAGGTTTTGAGGGGTATTTTCTCTCTCTCTCTCTCGCTTCTCTTTTTGTAAGCTTGGAAAACGCTAAGTGTGTGTGTGTGTGTGTGTGTGTGGTGTGTGTGTTGTGACTAGTGCGTGTTTGTGCATGTCAGTGCGTGGTGTGAGACAGAGACAGAGAGAAGGAGAGCTGGTAAGTGAGAGGAGAGAGAGAGAGAGAGAGAGTAGAGAGTGGAGTTAGTGAGGAGTGAGTAGTGAGTGAGTGAGTGAGTGAGTGATGAGAGAGAGAGAGATATGGAGAGAAGAGAGAGAGAGAGAGAGGAGAGAGAGAAGGGAGAGGAGAGATACATTCAAAGAGAGAGCAGCAGCTCTCACAATCATGCATCATAGCAACGCTGCTTGACGCAAAACGGCCCTCTGATCCTCCTTTGTTTCCTCCGCAGGTGTTGTCCTATCCTGTTCTTCAGCTTCTGCATCAGAATCTGTACTACTGGGGCGTGATGCAGTGGGTCGTCATTCAAGCTTAGGCTGGGTCCTGGCAGGTCACCGTCGGCACCACCCGCCTGCGAGAGTGTCAACGCCGCTGCCAACATCTTCCTCGGCAGGTGGGTCGGGCTGCCGTCAGCTGTGTCACCGTTCTGACCCTCTGGTTTGGTTCGGTGCTTTATATTTATTTTGACTGGGGATGCAAGAGGCCAGCTGAAAGGATTTGCAATAGACCCTGACCTCTTCTCTCTTCTCCCCAAGTGGTCATGTTTCTCCCCTGCGCCCTCCCCAGCGCCTGCTTCACCCCTGTTCCTCCCCCAGACCGAAGCTCCCCTGCTGATCAAGCCGTACCTGCCGCTCATGACCAAGTCAGAGCTGCACGCTGTCATGACGGGCGGCTTCGCGACCATCGCCGGCTCCGTCCTGGCCGCCTACATCTCCTTCGGCGTCGACCCCGCCCACCTCATCTCCGCCTCCGTCATGAACGCCCCCGCCGCCCTCGCCTTCTCCAAGCTCTTCTATCCCGAGACGAAGAAGTCCAAGACGAGCGTCTCCAACATCCAGATGCAGAAGGGGTTCGTGGAGCTCAGCCCGTCCTTCTAGGATGTTATCCTAGCTACTTCTTAGTCTTTGTATTCGTATTACATCTTTACTTCTTGGTTCTATCGGTTCTTTTTGTTTGTTTGGTCTTAATTCTTCCAATATATATAAAGAAAGAAACTAAAAGAATGATCATTTCCGACCTCAGATTCTCCTTGTACACTTCCATCCTCTTCCCTTAGCCTCAATCCCTTACACAATCCACTCCTTGCCTGCCCGCAGAGAGGAGTCGAGCTGGCTGCACGCCGCCATGGTGGGCGTGACGAACGCCATCCCGCTCGTGGCCAACATCGCCGCCAACCTCATCGCCTTCTACGCCTTCATCGCCCTCTGCAGCCACGTCCTCGACTGGACTTGCATGCTGGCCGGCGCCGAGGAGGAGGTGTGCACGCTGGAGGTGAGCAAGGGAAGGATGAGAGGTGAAGAAGAAAGTTTGAGGGAGGGAAGAGAGGGACGAAATGCAGGGAGGTAAAGGATGGAGGAAAGGAGACGGGAAGGGAAGGAAGGGCGTGTTGCGAGATCGTGTGGGTCTTCTAAGGGTGTCATCCTGTTCACTATCATTTCTATCAGAACGTCCTCCTTCTTCACTCCTTCAAATTTCACCCATATTTCTCTCTCGTCTCCATCTTCATTTATCCTCGTGCCTCTTCTTCCTACCTCGAGGGAGACATCATTATAATGATCGTGTAGATTCCTCCTCGTCCTCCTCTTCCATCACCAGTACTACAAAACAAACCCTAATATTTGATTTTCCTTGAGAGCGCCATCTTTATTCCTTAAGACAATATGTACGGAAAGCGGTTGGAAAATTCGAAACAGTTATGATAATTTCTCAACTACTATGGGAGTGGAAAACTATAGGGATTATTAGGCCTTGGGAAAAGACTGAATAGGGGATGCTGTCGTTTGTTCCCAAACACCCCAATACCCGTCGTTTGCCAAGAGGCCAGTGCATTTCCTGCTTTTGAGTGAGAATAAATGATTTCCTTTTGATGATACGCATGCAAAGCACAGAAGATGGTCATAGCTTGATGTTAATGATAAATCTACACTCCCTCCCTCACTCCCTCCCTCTCCTCCTTCTCTCTCTTACACATTTCCTCAATCACTCACTCTGTCACAACCACACGCACACCCTTGCAAGTTGTAGGTTATCATGATTCTGACTCGAAATTGCAACATTTGCATTCCTGTCGGTGCAACCCTCTTAGCTTGATGTTAATGATAAATCTACAGTATGAAAGTACGGCTTCTGTAAAAAAAAAAAAAAAAAAAAAAAAAAAAAAAAAAAAAAATAGGGTGGCCATGGCTTGATTTTTATTATAATAAATTTACAATATGAAAGTATTGAAAATGGAAGCCGGAATTAATGTTTTTTTCCAGTTCTTCAACGTATTGGAAACATGTACAGTGATTAAGTTGCAATGAATTATGCGTACATAAATCAGGCTTTAGCTCAATAGCATTAGTATTTTGAAGATTGAAGATTGAAAAAAATGCCTGGATAGATTTTCGTCTTTCTAAGTCTTCATCCTTAGTGCATGTCCAGTCCAAGTTTCATCCGATTCAAATAATAGTGGCAATAATGATATAATAAAGTTGCTTCATAATACGAAGAAAATGTCGTAGGTTATGCTGAATTTCGAGGTGTTTTGAGCGATTTTTTACCTATCCAAAATTGATATAATATTTTTGTCACCCTAGTATGTTCCTTTGAAGCGAGGTTTCTAAGAATGTTGAGCTGTAGACAAGCGTAGAAAAAGAGAATTAATAAGACAAGTTTCTTCCCTCCCCTTCCCATCCTTCTCCTTCTCTACCTCTCCCCTCCCTTCCTCCTTCTCCTCTCCTCTCTCCCCTCCTCCCTTGCTCCTCCTTCCTCCTTACACTCCTCTCCTCCCCCTCTCTACATCCTTCTTCTCCTCTCCCTCCCTTCTTCTTCCTCCTTCCCCCCCCTCTCCCTTCCCCCCCCCCCTCCTTCCCCCTCCTCCCCCTTCTTCTTTCCCCTCCTCCCCTTCTTTACCTCCCTCCTCCTCCTCCTCCCTTTTTTACCTCCCCCTCCCCTCTTTCCCCTCCTCCCTCCTCCCTTCTTACACCCTCCTCCTCCCTCCTCCCGCTTTTTTACCTCCCCTCCTCCTCCTTCTTCCTCCCTTCTCACCTCTGACCTCCTCCTCCCCTTCTTACACCCTCCTCCTCCTTTTTACCTCCCCTCTCCTCCTCCTCCTCCTCCCCTTCTCACCTCCTCCTCCTCCTCCCCTTCTCACCTCTTGACCTCCTCCTCTCCTCCTCCCTTTCTCCTCCCATCCTCCTCCCCTCTCACCTCCTCCTCCTCCTCCCTTCTCACCTCTGACTCCTCCTCCTCCCTTCTCACCTCTGACCTCCTCCTCCTCCCCTTCTCACCTCTGACCTCCTCCTCCCCTTCTCACCTCTGACCTCCTCTCCCCAGAACGTGTTTGGCGTGCTCTTCACCCCCCTGGCCTTCGTCATGGGCGTCAACTGGTCCGAATGCGGCCAGATCGGCAAGCTTATCGGACTCAAGATCATCGTCAACGAATTCATGGCTTATTCAGCGCTCTCGGACCTCATCAAAAAAGGGACCATCTCGGTGGGTGTTGAGCGTTCTCTGCGGTTGGGATTTTGAGTGCTGTTTAGAGGGGTATTTTTTGTGTTATGAGTATATTGTGTTTTTTTTTCGTGAGTTATGAGTATATTTTTTTTTCGTGAGATGAATATTTTCTGTTTATTCGTTTTTTTTGAGAGTTATGAATATTTGTGTTTGTTTGATTTTTTGTGAGGTGATTTTTGTTTATTTGATTTTTTTTTGAGAGAGAGAGAGAGGGAGATGAATATTTTGTGTTTGTTTGTTTCTTTTAGTGAGTTGTGAGTATTTTCTGTGTTTTTTGTGTTTGTGTTTGTACGATTTTTTGTGTTATGAATATTTTGTGTTTGAGATTTTTGTGTTTGTGTTCGAGTTTTTTTGTGTTATGAATATTTTGTGTTTGTTCGTTTTTTGTGTTATGAATATTTTTTGTTCTTTTTTTTTTTTTTTTTTTTTTGAGATGATTATTTTGTGTTAATTCGCGTCTTTTTTGTGAGTTATGAATATGTTGTGCTTGTTCAAGGCAGCCTCAGTGCTACCCTGGGGCTGGATTCTCAAACTCCTTAGGGCGCCTTAACTTCCGGCCGAGCGATCTTACATACCCATACACGGAGCAAGGGACCCGGCATCTTGGAGCGAGGTGAGGCGCCCGAGGCTAAGGCGGGGAAGGGGAGAGCAGCCCTTGGCGCTTCACTCTTCGCTCTTATACAAGGGAAATGCAGCAGGACGCTTAAGGCTTCCAGCGCGCCTTACCTTCCTCTTCTTCTTCTTCCTCCTCCTCCCTCCTGCTCTTTCTCCTCCTCCTGCTGCTGCTACTGCTGCTGCTCCTCCTCCTCCTCCGCCTCCTGCTCTTCCTCCTCCTCCTCCTGCTCCCTCTCCTCCTCTTTCTCCTCCGCCTACTGCTCTTACTCCTCCTCCTCCCTCTCCTGCTCTTCCTCCTCCTCCTCCTGCTCTTCTTCCTCCTCTTCCTCCTCCTGCTCCTCCTCCTCCCCCTCCTGCTCCTCCCCTGTCTTCCTCCCCCTCCTCCTCCTCCTCTGCTCCCTCCTCCTCTCCTCCTCCTCCTCCTCCTCCTCCTCCTCCTCCTCCTCCTCCTGCTCTTCCCCCTCCTTCCTCCTCCTCCCCTTCTTACCTCCCTTTTTTCTAGGCTCTTTAGAGAATCCGGCCCTGGGCTCCTTCCGGCCACTCAGCCTCCCTCTCTTGTTTACATTACGCATGCATTCTCCTTGGCCTCGTGAGCCTGTGCTACGGGGGCGTCATTTCAGCTTTGGGGGGGGGGGGGGGTTAAAGCTATAACTTGACCTATATAGGTGTAATCTAGTAATATTATTATAGTGTCCAATATATAGATATATAATATATATATATATATATATATATATATATATATTATATATATATATATATGTATATATGTATATATATATATATATATATATATATATATATATATATATATATATATATATATATATATATATATATATATATATATTGGGGACTGCCCCTCCCCCCAATTAACGCCCCTGCCGTGCTGGCAACAGGTTCCGCGCAATCGTAGCAATATGACACCATCTTGCAGAAACGCGCGGAGACGATCGCCACGTACGCCCTGTGCGGCTTCAGCAACATCAGTTCCATCGGCATCAACCTGGGCGGCTTCAGCGCGATGGCCCCCGAGAGGCGCGGCGACCTGGCCAGCGTGGTCGTGAGGGCCATGATCGCGGGGAGCTGCGCCACCTTCCTCACTGCCTGCGTGGGGTGGGTGGGCGTTCCGCTCTGTTGCACGCACGCACGCACACGCACACGCACACACATATACGCATAGATATGAACATACATACCTACATACATGCATATATACATCCATACATATATACAAACATATATACACATACATACATACATGTATACATAATTACACCTCCACATATATACACTATAATATATATATAATATATATATATATATATATATATATTATATAATATAAATATATATATATATATATATATATATATATATATATATATATATATATATATATATATATATATATGAATATATGAATGCTTATCTGTGTATTTGTGTTCGCGTGTTCGCATACAAAAATGGTTCATTTCTGCACTTTTGTTCCCACAGGAACTCTTCTGCCCAGCAGTGGAGAATCTCTTCCGTTGAACATGACTTCAACGACACAGCTGTTTGAAAGCACCACAGCTTCAGGCTTTTAGTATAGCATTTGCGGGTGTGTTTGTTTGTGTGTCTGTTTCTGTCTTTTCCTCTGTCTGCCTGGCTGTCTGTTTGTTTGTGTGTCTGTTTTTGTTTTTTCCTCTGTCTGCCTGGCTGTCTGTTTGTTTGTGTGTCTGTTTCTGTCTTTTCCTCTGTCTGCCTGGCTGTCTGTTTCTGGTTTTTCCTCTGTCTGCCTGGCTGTCTGTTTGTTTGTGTGTCTATTTCTGTCTTTTCCTCTGTCTATCTGCCTGTTTGTTTGTGTGTCTGTTTCTGTCTTCTCCGTCTTTCTGCCTGCCTGCCTGTTTGTTTCTGTGTTTTCTTCCGTCTGTCTGCCTGCCTGTTTGTTTGTTTGTATGTTTGTCTGTATCTGCATCTATCTGGCTCATGTCTCGTGTCTCTCCATGAAGATTGTCTGTGTCTGCTGTTTAATTTTCCAAGCGAGGTTTGAGTGTGTGCGAGAAGAATCATAATTCACTGTATTAGTGCTATTGTTTCTTCTTATTTGCAGTTTAGGTAATGCTATTGTAATATCAATTACAAATGGATGATTTTAACATATTCTGCGCATTACATACTTATTTATATGTATACACACCTATAGTTTATATCTATTTATATATATGTAGATGTATATATAAACTCTTGTGTGTGTGCGTGTGTGTGTGTGTGTGTGTGTGTGTGTGTGTGTGTGTGTGTGTTGTGTGTGTGTGTGTGTGTGTGTGTGTGTGTGTGTGTGTGTGTGTGTGTGTGTGTGTGTGTGTGTGTGTGTGTGTAGTACGCGCGCGCGTGTATGTATTCTTGCCTGCCTCTTTGCTAGCTTATTCTGAAAATCGAAAAGACTCAAAATTCACCCAAAACAAAAGGTTGAAAAAGAAATATATTTATATGATGCGATTCTTTCAAATCATCACTTTTTTCCCTCGAAGCCTTAAGTATCCGAAACCGTCTCCAACACGTTTGAATCACGTTTTCGCCAGGTGGGTGAGTGGGGGGGGTGAGGGGTCCTTTCTTCCCCGGATTCCCAAATAAACAACTCTGAGATCCGGAACCCTTCGAGACAGCGGAACCTTCACAACGGCTAATGCGGTTACGGGAAAGGCTAGGTCAGTAGCAAATCAAGGAGGTGTCATGGCGTCTGTTTTGATAATTGTCCGGTAAAATACAACCATTAAAATAATTATTTTCCATCCCTTTTGAAAACTGAAGAGACCAAAATGATCGACCATGTTCGCAAAGCATCCGTAACTCTTGTGACGTCATCAAAGTCAACCCCATGTTTTTTTTTGTTTTTTTTTTTTCCAAAAATAGAATCAGACGCCATGACAACTCGAGTTGCTACTGATCTAACTCTCCCAATACGTTACACCAAATGTATCGTCGAGGCAGAGAACGTAATGAAAAAAATGAACGTATATATATATATATATATATATATATATATATATATATATATATATATATATATATATATATATATATATATTACGAACGTGAAAAGCATAAAAATTACTTATAAACATGTAAAGGGCGAACAAAAGTTATGATAATAAAAATAGGGAGGATGAATATGTTCATAATTCGCAATTATAATATCATTTTATCTTATTTTATCTTCTTTGCTAATCATGATGATCATTAACGTTACTATTATCGTTTTTGTTATCATCATTATTATTACCATTATCATACTATTTACTGTTACCCTTGGTATTCCCATTGTTATGTTAATATATTTATGAAAATATATCAGGGGATTTTTGTAATAATAAAATGGTTATAATAAAATATTGTTATTTTTCTGTCGCCTACCTGTTTATAATTTCTCTTATAACTTTGAAAACAATATACTTGTTAAACCTTTTAAATACTGACTTGTATTTAACCACCAAACTAGACACATCTCGTCCATTGTTAATTTTCACATGCTATCCACTATATTCATATTTCTCTCATGTATCTCTCGGTCCTTCCTTTCTCTTCTTTGTTTCTGTACCTCTTTTTCTCTCCCTCTCCCTCTTCTTCCCCTGCGCTGGATCCACGAAAGTTCATTAAAATAACTAGGTTCTGTAGAAGCTGTTTATTAATAGACACAAAATACTTTTGGACATACATTAAAATCCTCACTACTAATGCCTATTATTGTAATTATTATCATTATTATCAACAGACATTGCACAGCCATAAAAATACACCTTAAGTCTGATAAAAATTATCAAAAAAATATAGTGTGCGTATCTGAAATAATTCATATAAATGTATTAAGGTCTGGGATCACCTCGACCTTAACATTATAGACCGTCTCGACACACAACATAATATTATAAGATAAAACAAACATTTGTGTAGGAAATATTGTCAGGTTTTACTTTAAAAATTGTGGATTTCCTAAGAGTAAAAAAATAAAAATGCATTAATCAAATAAACAATACGTAAGATCTGACATATGATACATGCGCGAGACTCCCCGTTCTTGTAACTTCATGCGCAGGTGACGTGACGTGCCTACCGTGACTTTCACTAAATATTCTAACCGCAAAAGCTTTGAGATGCTATAACATACCAAGTATATATGTTTTCCTTATATCCATATAGCCAAAGATCTGTATATATCTTCTCTAGGCGTACATCTGATGCTTATAATCGTTATACTATTCGATTAATTGCAGCTCTATTTGATACGATGACGTCACGCCTTCCCGCGCCGAGGACAAGAACGGTTCCTGAAGAGTTTTATCATTTTTCATTTCTATTTTGCAATGTAGTCGGCGTGTCGGTAGAAATATATATGTTTATATATCCAGTTTACAATGGAACCTTACTGAAAAGCGAAAGTCAGTTCAGTAACAACAAAGAGGTTATATGAAGCTCCTGCCACGACGGAACCTGTTGAAACACACTCAGATTACCAGGTGGAAAGAAAAACCTTTAATGTCCACTGTATAGAAACCATTTTAGCAAAATATATAAAATTTCGTTCCTTTCAAACTTGAAAACCGCGTCATTGCTTTATTCCCAGAATCAATAGTCTCATTTTCACTGTTATCATTATCGTCGTCATTATTACTATTAGCAGAGCACCACAACACAGCTGCCACTGGTAAACGGTTCGACAGCCATATGCCGAGATAGGAAAAATAATAAATATCCGTAAAAAAGATAATAGTAATGATCAAAATTCACTGTTCACAAGCCGTACATTCTATCATCACAGGCAAAGGATGTGGCAGGTCCCTTACAAAGACTTTGCAAGGACCTTCTAGGACTCCGCTCCTTCTGCACGAAAAGGAAAACAAGTTGAGAATCACAGTTTACTTTTGTAGACTTTGTGTGATTTGTTTTTGGTTTTTGTCTTCATTTTGTAAAAGGATGGAGGGAGGGAAGGAGGTCGTCAAACCCCAGACATGAAATCTGGTAAAAAGTTTTTTTTTCGTGTTATTTTTTCTTCCTTTTGACTTCTCCGTGTTGACGTTTTACCAGATCAGGAACACGGCAACTCATGTCTGAACATAAGGTTTGTTAGCGTGATGGCAACAGTGTTATCTTCATGACTGGGAGGAGGGGGGGGAGGGTGCAAGGAAAAAAGTAGAATCATAGTTAATCTGCAAACGTAACAAGATTATTTGGAATATATATATATATATATATATATATATATATATATATATATATATATATATAATATATATATATATATATATATATATATATATATATATATATATATATATATATACTGTGTATACTATATGAACATATACACATGTATATGCATATATGCATACATTTACACCATTTTCACACACACACGCATACACGCGCACACGCACACATACACACACACACACACACACACACACACGCACACACGCGCGCGCGCGCGCGCGCGCAAACGCACACATACACACACAGGCAAACACACACACACACACAGGCAAACACACACGTACACACACACACACACACATACATACATATATATATATATATATATATATATATATATATATATATATATATATATATATATATATATATACAGACTTTTTTTCAAAACTCTCCTGAAGCGAAAGTATAGGTCTTTATACGCAGATTACCAACAAAATCAACAGATGAATATATAATTAATACTAATAAGAGATAGCATTCAGCACAATGATAAGAATGGAATATATTTATATAAAAAAGAAAGTCGCGTGATATAAATATTTTTGGCACTAATCTCTTTTTTGTGAAATGGCGAAAAAAATAGCATAAAAGAGTATGCGATGGAAAGGCAATGTCCTAATGTTCGTGATTTTCGAAATGCAGAAAACATGTTTTTTTTTTCTTTTTGCAAATGAATGAAATGAAATGGCGGCAATGACTGATGAAGTATTAACTGTAGTTATATGAACCTCACAAATGGGATGGAAGAGTGGGGGGGGGGGGATGAAGGAAAACATTAGGTAATGGGATGTTGTTACATACGTGGTTTCCTTTATGTTTATTTTCTTTAATAATAGGTGGTATATATGCATATGCATATGTGTAGTGATTTACATACATATATGTGAACATCTGTATGCAATATAATATATATATATATATATATATATATATATATATATATATATATATATATATATATATATATATATATATATATTATATATATACAATACATATGCATACATATACATAATGTTCATATACATATACATTCATTCATTTATATACAGAAGACGCACAAAAACTGAGTTCAGTGATGCATATAATTGCATATGTATGATATAGTAATCAGTCTCAGAAGCAAACACAGAATGTACACTATGCTCTTTGGAGGCTGAACTTTCCAATAATAATAAAATACTGAAACGAAGAGAACAGTCCCGCATGTATGCTCATATGTATGCGTATAAACATGCATATGCCCATACACCCATGTAAATAGTCCGAGCGGGCAAATGCCTACGTATGAACACCGCGTCAATCAGCGGTCAAAAACGAACGTGGAAGAAACATGAGGTTTTCAGAGGCCTTTTAAAACTTTTACCAGAAAAAAGTACATAAAAAATAGGAGCAAACCTATTAGCAATACTGTTTGTATAATGCATACTGAGAAGTTGCTACTTGTTC